AAAAAAAAAAAAAAAAAAAAAAAAGAGAAGAGAGTTAAAGAAGGTAAAAGTAAATTTTGTATCATGCCGCTGTTATATTTGTAACCGCTTAAGGCTAATTGATCAACAATGTGTAGGCACGTGTATGTACGTGTATGCTGCTATACGTACGTACGTACATATGTGCACGCAGCATAGTATCATTTTTTAATTATTGGACTCGTTAGTCACGACTCATTTTCAAGACACAAGGTTAAATAAATTTCAGTAAATTTACAAATCGACGTGATTAGATCTAAAAAAAATTATCACACATTTATATTATATTATATTATAATATATTATACCTACTATCTAACATCACGTAGTATATGAATGAAATACCTATAATTTTTTATATTATAATTATACGGTTCCTACAATACGTTTTCAATGAATTTCTCGTTGTTTTACGAGTAGTAGTAGTCGCAGACCAATTTTCATCACGACACAATTAGATAGATAGGTCAAACAAGGAAAAGGGCAAATGTCGTTTGGATGTAATTAATAGACGATGTAGACGAATCTACATAACCGATGAATTCGGACCACACTTAAAGGAATATCGCGTTTGTTTGATCCATTTGTTACCTCAATTTATGTTCGTCCTTCGTAAACGTCGCGTGAATCTCGAGTGCGATTCCGAGAATGAAACCAACTTTACTCTTTTCATCATTCCTTTCTTTTTCTTTTGTTCCTCCTAACTACAACACTTTTCTCTCTTTGAATAAAAAGAATCAACCGTCTTCATGCGTACAATTCATCAACCATTGATTATTAATTATCCATTCGTGTAAGCGCATCAAATTAAATACTTGGTACTTATTGTCAGAAAAATTGAATTTATAAATATAAGGGTGATGATATTTCATAATTTTCGATCGAGTGTAAAATGAATAATTTATTTTATTTGTAAGTATAGGGCATTCGTACCTTGTATATATTACAAAAGAGATGAACAAAATCGAACGTAGGAGTAAAAAAAGGAAGGAAACTTTAATTGAAAATAAGAAAAGTAAGAAAAGACGTACATGAAGATACATTTTGAAAGATCTTGGAAAGATTTTACGAGATTTTACAACCAAATTAATGTCAGGAGACATGCACTGCGTGATACATGTACTTAAGACTGCGAACAGGATCAAGGACAAGACCTTGGCATTACCAGCAGCCGTTGTATAGAAATTGATAGCACACAACCTTTCCAAGTGTTAACGTGTCTGCTTAACTTACTTGTGCTACGGAATTGTGAATTTACATTTTCCTAAATGAAAAAGCTACTGTTTTCAAAAGCGAACAAACAAATGCGATGAAAACGACTGAAAATTGGTAGAAACTTTGTATGCTGCTTTTACAAATAAAGCTTGGTATTTGAAAGCTTGAAACCATTTTTATCAGGTACTCATTGTCAAATATTCTCCATTTTTCATTCAGTTTCTCTATTGATATTTGATGCATCCTCTTTATTTTTTGACTGCATCTGTTTACATCAGTAAATACCGATACTAGATTTCGAATTTCTGGTACGTGGCTAGTTCTTTGCAAAATAGTCGAATATTATGTGTTTTCTAGAAACGCGTTATGACGCAACATGACGTTTACCAACATGTCTATCAGAGACATAAGCAAAAGTATTATTTTTATACTAAAGCCAAAAAAATATCAAACTTTTTGTCTGTTTATAAACATATGTATTTACATTGTACGCAAAAGTATTGAAATTCGTTCGAATTGCAATTGAGATTGAAGTTTCAATCAACTTAACTTAAGTTACTACATTACCCATCTATTCTGATCATAGAGTGCCAATGTCGCACGATTACAAGCGTGATGACAAGAATTTCTCTCAAACTAGTTTAGTTGCACTTGGATATTCCGATTATTTCGTATTGACAAATTCGAAATGATAATCAGTATCGAATTAACAATCATCGTGGTTTTGTTTTAAACAAACAGTTCAGTTCATCTCAGGGTGCTTCAACCGCCACGATACCGTACCTTTTTTCAAGGATGCTCCTCGCTTCAAGTGCCTCGCCATAAAGCTGGAAAGTAGCTGCATACTTTTCTTTCAAATGACCTCTTAACTCTCACCAGAATACTCTCTCGTCACGATCTGTCCCGTTTGTCGTCTTCTTTTTTTCTTTTTCAATAAAATTATCGCTCAAACATCCTCGAGTAAAAACATTCGCCAGCTGCGAGTCTTTTCTTTTGTCGACAGTGTGCGAAACAATGATCGATCTAACAATCTTTCCAAATAAAATGGATCGAGTAAGTCTTGTTTTAACACTCTTTTTAACGAATTACCGTTCCGAATAAAGGTTTGACATTCTTCGTGATGTTCTTGGTACACTGCTGGTAATTTGCACGTAATTTGTGTGTAAGTAAGTAGGTATACACGTAGGGTACATATTTCACTGGGGAATTTTCGTACGATAACAATGAATTCAACGAGTGATTCGACATTAATCACGAAAACGCAATTCTGTGTGCAAGGTAGAAGTCGTGTCTCCAAGTAACTAATAATTGGAAAAAAATTCACATATTTACGATACGGTTGTAGAACTTTTCACTTGATTAGACTATCTCTAGACAAGTTTCCCCACGATTACTTTTCAATATCGTAACGTGAAACTGTTCTCCTAAATGTCAAATTAAAGACTACATACTTTCTTATTTTATTTTCATCGATTTCATTGATTTTTATTTGATTTTCATTTCTTCTTTGCTAATTGAGGCACAAGTTGGTCTATCTATTTAGAGATACATAATGTTGTACGAAAGTAAATTCACACACAAATCGAGCACGTGGTTTTTTTTAATATGAGTCATAAATTTTCCTTTTAAATTAATAAATAATTTCATGGCACCAAAATAATGATAATCAATTGGTCGATAACAAAGGATATTGATCTTTATATTTATTTTCCAGTATTAAGAACACGAATGCTTTTCGACCGGCGCACAAACTCGTACTGAGTGCGAACAAATTGCTAGTACGAGTACGAGTACGAGCACGAACACGAGCACGAGCACGAGTACGAGTACTACAAATGCCACCGACCATCTGTTTTTCTTGGAAAGAACTGGTTACATTCGCGCTTGCGCCGCCCTTATCACGAGCATTGGTACCTACTATATGTATATATCACTCTGTGATTGATTGAAAATTAGAAATGTATCGCTGAAAGTTAAACAGTCGACTAATCAACAATCGGTACACATATGAATATGTACACATACGATATGTACATAGTACACGTGTATATACATATGTACAATGGTTATCTTTATATCGATATATTTATTATTTATGCGTGAAATCTTGTTAAAAAAGATTTAGTAGCTTTCATCGAAGAGATTTTCTCCTTTGCCTTTGTTTACACTTGCACACGTGATAATTGCACACTTTCCTTTCCTCAAGTTTCAAACCAATGAAAGTTTACCAATTTATTATTACAACGATTTATTAAACTCGTTTTCATGAAAATATAATTTTTACGAAAAGCAGATTAAATTACATCCATACCCTGTATGTACAGTTCGTCATCTTCGTGTGCTTTACACGGTAAAATACGATATTTGAGAAAATTTTATTCACACACGAAATACCAAAGAGAAAGTAATATCTAAATACATAATCGAGGTTTAAAACATGTTGACAACTGTTTAAAGAAATGGTAATTACTGACTATAATTACGAATTGTAAGAACGACAGTATGCTAGGCTTGAAACCTGTGGCACTAATATTCACAGATCAAGTGACCAGGCTATGTAAGTATGTAAATATGTAAGTATGTAAGTATGTAAGTATGTAACGGTTGCTTAACGGCACTGTGCGCCGTGCGCGCAACATGTCGACAGGGAAAATATTCATTGCGGATGACATTTTCATGTCATACGCGATACTTGATGTTTACTACATTCTGCGATACTTGAAACCGTGCAGGATACGAGGACGACATCAGTCATCGAGGTCAAGTAAAAAATACGGTAAATAAATAAGGAACGAATGAATTTCCCAAAAATGATGACGAAGATCGTCCGTTTGTAAGAATAATGTTGAGACAAGTGGCAACTGACAACCAAGTCATTTGTGGTGTAAAAACTTTGTAAAGGATACATACGTCGAAATGATTATCAATTGGTAACAGTAAATGCAGTGCTCGTCAGCAGATTATGGCACACTGCTTTCGTTTTAAGCTACCAGTTGTCGCGTCGCGTCCACCTTTCTCCTTTTGTTTCTCTTTTATTTGATTTGTTTCTTGGTCAACATCTGTCTTACGCGCCATACCTTACTGTGCCGCATTACATTGCCACAACCCGTACATAACGTGCCAATCCGACGAGTCCAAGTTTATGGTGCAAGGTGCGCACCGTCTGCCTCGAGAATTTCAGAGAATTTCTCGGAGAAAAAGCATTTCAGGGACGCATCTCCGATCGTGTGTCGCCCTGTGTCGCCCTTGTGTTCAAAAACTGTTAGCTAATAGCTTTTCCTTCATCATTTTCGAGTATTATATACGAATTGAATTCGAGTTTTGAGTTTGCAAAGTAGATGATTGATTTCTTTTTCGATAAAGAGTGTATATGTATATGTATATGTATATGTGTATGTATATATATATACACGATAATAGAAAGATGTGTGTAATATGTATGTACAAGAAGAAGGAAATTCTTTGAAAAACAATTTCGACAATACATACACAGATACACAAGTAAGTATTAAAACGATTTGCGATTGACTAACGCTTCCAAGTTTTCTGTGTCAGATAACTTCTATAAAATTCTAGGGAAATCCTAGAGGAAAGTATTTTTCTTCTCTCGTATGTTTTTACGTATACAGTATATAGTATATACAGGTATGTATACACGTATATGTACATGTCTTGCGTCTTACGGGACAACACCTTTCACAGAGATGGTAAAGTTCTTTCTGAAACCTGTTCTTGTTTTGTCGAAGGAATCGACGCCCTGACTACTAGTTTCCTATTCTCAACTTATTTCCATATTTATACAAACATACAACGCTGCAGCGCATAAGTAAATATTGTACGTACGCGCGGCTGAGATACGAGAAATACTCGACGCACTAGTTTACTTTCCTTACGACGAATGTTACCAAACTTCATTTCTAAAATTATCTCCCAACTGTATGTAACTTGTTTGTTCTCTTATTTCTAAACGGTTGGACGAATCGAAATAACACATTGGTACTAAATTTGTTAAATCAAATTCCCGTCAACTAATCGAGAAGTAGTAAAGGTAAAGAAAAATATTTTTGAGAAGTTCGTGAAAAAAAGGAAGAAAAGGGAAAAAAAGGCGAAACTGCGAGGATGTAATGGTAGGAGGAGTACTGATAGAACAACGTGTTTTTAATTAACATTCTTTAATTAACCGGCAATTGCATAAATGGCCGATGGAAAGGCGACGGTGAATATGTAAGAACATCGACAGAGTAAATAGTAAATTATTAATTGTGGTAAGTGGTAAACAGAAAGAGGGTGCGTTTTTTCACGCGCAATCACTTTCTTTCTTGTCGTTTCATAAGTTTGGAAACACTCTGTATACGAGCCGCGTGCATAAGTGCGTGTATCAAGCTTTTCGAGCCAAGTATAGCGAACCATGGCAATTGTGTGACGAAGAATTCAAGTTCACGCAATAACGCGAATGTTGGAAAATGGTACCACTCTAGCCGCGTTCTGTTTGATGGCATGTCGATCGTATGTCGTATGGATTTAACGCGCGTGATTATTATACACGCGCGATGCGTTTCACCATTTTCACCGTGTAAAGATAAACTACAACGTGGTTAACCGATTAACGGACGTTTTACTTTTTTTCGTGTTTAACATATGTAATTAGAATGAGACGACAATATACGTACCCTGTGCCGAGATTTTCTATCTCATCGCGTGGAGAAATCGTTGCTCCACGTGTATACGTTTCTATCACCACATCTCTATCGGGAAACTGTTTTCACTAATCATGTACGATTCGACGACAATGAGCAGAGACGAAAGACCGACTTTCTTGCGTGAAAATGATCACACGCATAACCGGTCGATGCATCCGTTCTCATTCGCGAGTATAGCAACACTGACCTGCCGTCACGAGAGGAGAGCGGACCAGGTAACAGAACCTCTCTCTACTATTCCCTTCCTGTCTCCTCTTTCTGCTTCATCACCTCTCTGTCTTCTTTTTCCACCTTTTTCCTATCCTGCGTCCTTCTTTTTCTCTGTTCTTTCACTTCGTTCCTCTTATCTTATCTTTCCTTCTTACACCTGTATCACTTCTTGCATCTTCTCGCTTTTCTCATGGTTTTTTCTACTTCCCTCTTCCATTTCTCTTTTGCATATCCTTGTTTCAATTTTGTCTTTGTCTTTGTCTTTGTCTTTGCCTTTCTCTTTTCGCTTCTATCCGCACTGTTATGTTTTTCCTTTTTCACGCTCTTTCTTCGTTGTGTTGTTTTTTTTTTTCTGTTTTTTCTATTTTCTTCTCTTACGTACATTATGAAAAAAGAATATTATTCCACTGAATATCGAGGATTATTTAATAGAAGATTACTCTATCTCTATCCGTTCATCGTTACGCCGTTCTCTAACATCAACTAATCTATTTATAGCAATCAATAGATCTGGGTTTCAATTAAAAATCAAAAAAAATGGTTGTGATCGATATATTGCAATTATTACTTTTTATTAGTAGTATTTTAATGGTAGACATATAATTGAATTATAAAGTATGCTAAACTAAAGTATAATTGGAATTTTATAAAGAAGTTTTTATATATATACACTTTATATATATTTATATATATACATACTATGTGCACTTTTGGAAGAGAAACAAAATATATATGAAACAAAATATATATGTGTGACTGAATAGCAACGTCTAGTTCGATCAACGTTACTCTAAGCTTACTCTATTATTATTTTATATTTTGCATTTTTCGGTTGATTTAAAACGAACGACAACAATTTATGTTGTTGTTTGCTAATACAGCGCTCACTTGGTAGCGTTTCACTTGGCTAATTGTAAGCCTAAACGAATGAAATGAATTAAATCAAACGTATATTGGACTCTATATACGTTCATTTGTTTGACTTGACTTTAAATATACATCGATGACCGTGTAAAAAAATGATGCAGCGAGAGAAAAAAGAAACATGCACGCTTAGAACATGTAGATAATATACGTATGTATGTGTACATCTCCGTGATGGAAAGTCTGATCCACCCCGCTGCCTTGCCTTGTCCATTTATTAGAGTAGAAAGATGAATATCTCAACGAAGCAAATAGGTGCTTACCTGCTGCCTACGCGTTCTGCTTGCATCGCTGTAACGCCGTAACACCGGTAATCTAGCAGTCTAGCAGTCTAGCAGTCTAGCAGCCAGTAGCGTCCTCGCGACCAAGTTCACCGTCTTCTCTCCTAACTCCTAACCCTGCGTACAGCACGTATTCCTCTCACATGCAGAGAATGTATTGTTACGATCGTCAGCTGCTGTTTCGCTTCAAACGAGCTCTTGCTCTTTCTCTACGTGGGGATATGCGTCAGAGTTCTAGGGTACGTGATACAGAGGGGGAATGGTTAGGGCGCAAGCCAAGGGGTTTGTTCCCCATTGTTCGCACTGCATGTCCGTGCAATTTTCACTCAACAATTGTCTCCGTAAATTGGTCATCCGTCGCCTGCACGATTGCTCAAAGCTTAAAAGAAACACTCCTTCTTTTTCGTATATTTTCCTTTCTTGTGTATTCTTCAGTGATTCTCTCATACCGTTCACTCTTACACACGTTAACGTAATAGACGCGCAAATACTCTATTCTATGTAATGACAATTTCGTAAACTAGAGAATTCTCTTCTTACAATTGGCAAATATAATGACAAGCGATGATGATCCGTTTACCTTTCGTTTATAACATACGCCAATACATTCCTAAGACACAACAATGTACTCTGGCGGAAGTGAGGTAATAATAACTA